TCCAGGCGCACAAGAGGGCTGGAACCGAGCATAATTCAGAATGCCAGAAGCTTGTGGAGGACATCAAGGAGGAGGCGCGGACTTTCAAAAAACAGCAAAAACAAAGAAAGCTAGAGAAGCAAGAGCAGTTGCTTCTACAAGCCCAGGAAGATAAAAGGCAACAATCCCACAAACTGGCTCATACTCTCAGGAAACTTGCTCCGTGGCGCCCAGTGCAGAGAGTCAACCTAAGGGATCAAGCAGGTGAGCCGCTTGATACGGAGGCCTCATTAAAAACTATGCGCGAATACTCGAGTCAAATCTTCTCCAAAAGTTCTCCTTTGCACTCAGTAGCTGCTGTGCCCAGAGCAGCGATCACCGCCTTGCAGGTATCCTCACAAATCAAGACAGTGCCAGTGGGGAAAGCAGTCCCCAGCACCTCAGCCCCAGTATCAGCTTGGAAGAGTCTAGGTCCTGAAGCCCACGAACACATAGCAGGTCTAATCAACTCTGAGGTGTCCCAATCAGAAATTTCCCCTTATCTAAAGGACCCTCGAATTGCATGGATCCCCAAGCCGGGCAAGCCAGCCACCGCCATGCAAAACCTGAGGCCCATAGGAGTCATCAGCGTGCCAGGCAAAGTGCTAGCAGGCGCAGTGAAGACTCGCATTGCACCAGCACTGCAGGTGAGCTCACAGCTTCAGCCTCAGTTTGCGTACATCCGGCAGAGGGGGGTGCGGGACGCTATCGCGAAAGCATGTCAGCACCTTGATTTCGCGCAGCAGCTCCGTCAAGAGCATCGCAGGGACCTGCACAAGTCCCAATGCGGAGCCAGGCAGGCTCAGCTGTCAGGGGCACCTACTATTTCGGTTGATCTGAGCAAAGCTTTTGATTCTGTTAATAGACATGAGCTGCTAGCTGCCTTGGATCGCCTGGGAATAGACCCTGTTACGAAAGAACTGGTAGTTCAACTACACAGTGAGACCTCCTACAACATGGGCACAAGTGGACTAGAGATTCAAGTTCCCACTTCTTCAGGAATCAAACAAGGTTGCAAGCTAGCCCCGGCATTGTGGTCTGCGCTGACACTTCTAGTCATGAGCAGAATGGAGCAGAAATGGGGCCCAGATAGCAAGCAAGCTAGGGACATCCTAACGGTCTTTGCAGACGATTTCCTGCTCCAGGAAACCTTCTCGAGCTTTCCTGAACTTCAGAAAGTCCTGCTCAGAATAGAGGCTCTCTTTCAGTCTCTTGAGGACGTGGGGCTGGAAGTCAATCCAACGAAGTCCAAAGCCTTGCTAATGGTTCAGGGCACTCAGCAGTCCATCTTTCGCAAGAAGCACACGATGCGCAAAGAGAAGCAGTTGCACATCGTCCTTCCCTCAGGACATAAGATTCCGATTCATCACAAACTACATATCTAGGGGTGCAGCTCAGCTATGGATCCTACAAAGACCAGACTGTTGACTATAGGATCGCCCAAGCTCAAGGCAAGTTTGAGCTACTTCGACACATCCTGTGCTCCACTAAGGCCTTGGAGGCTTCAAAGAAGTTGGAGATCTGGAGGGTCTATGTGGAATCCTCACTCTTGCATGGGCTTGTGGCCACTGGCATCACCTCATCAGGTCTTCAGAAGCTTCAGAGTAAATACTCGAGGATGCTAAGATCCATCTTTAAGCAACATCAGCACTACAGCCATATTGACACGAAGACTCTGTTTGAGCAACATAAGGTTCAGACTCCTCAAGCAGTTTTGATCAGCCAGATGAAAAACTATCAAGACGCACTAGATGCCTGTCAGAAGTACAACCCGGATCAGAACATACAGTGGTATCTGGGACTTAGAGGTAGGATTGTTGCGCTGCAACAGGAGCTTCAGAGCATGCATTTGGACCTGACCGAGGCAGACCAGGAGGTACCGTGCTCTCTGTGCGATCGGAAATTTTCCAGCGCTAAGGGTCTTCAGCAACATACTCTGGTGAAGCATGGAGGACAGCGTGCGAATCAGCTAGGCCCAAAATTTCAGGTCACTGTGCATAGCTGCAAAGGACTTCCGCAATGTGCGGCATGCAACAGGCAGTTGCGCACAATGCATCAACTTCGCAGACATGTGGAGTCAGGCATTTGCCCTCAGCTGCACGAGCTGAAAGAACGAGCCAAATCCTGTACAAGCTCAGAAAGCATAGCTATGATCTATCAGTCTAGCGTGCAGGAACAACTTAAGAAGGATCCTGATCTTCTACTAAAAAAGAGACATGTCACTCAGCATCTATTAACGAACTGCAGTCTCTGTGGGCAATACATTGTTGGCCACAAAGGAGTGAAACAGCACATTCAGAAAGCTCATCCCGCTTTCTGGGCACAATCCTCGGCATCCATTCTTGCCAACATGCGAACACATAAGCGCCTCCTGCACAAAAAAGAAGAATGTAGGTATTGTCGCATTGTGGTAGATGCTCCAGTACGCCATGCAGAGCAATGTGTGGTTCTGCTTCAGACATACGCCATGAGTGCAGCTTGTGCCAAGCCTATGGAACTGCCAGATCTCTTCAGTGCAGATCCTCCAATTAGCCAGGTGAGAGGCAGGGAGGCTTCCTCCCAGGAGGCTTCCTCCACCAGTGGGATTCGGTCTCATCAGGCACCAGCAAGCTCCCAGCGAGACGCACCAGCAGAGGGGAGACCTTCGTCAGTGCCCGTCACAGCCTGGTCTCTGGCCTATCATAATCCGCATCAACTGTGCTATGCACACACAGTAGTGCATATCCTTGCCTCGCTTGCATCAGAGGGTATTCTTTCTGATCCATATCTGAGACAAATATTGACGGAAATTGACGCAGTAGGGGGTCGTTCTTCTAGTGTGGATGTTCGTAGGCTGCGACAGCTACGTCCTCTGCTGACGGGATGGCGATTCAGACCCAGGCAAGAAGATGCATCCCAGTTTCTAGCACATATCATTCAGAGATCCCATGTGCTTTCAGCAGATGTTTGGGAAGCGAGGGTTCAAATCACAGCACCCGTGGAAAGAATCAGCGTAGAGGATAGAGGGGGTTTGATTCTTTTCTTGCCTGACCCACCAGATGGCCTCTCCACACTACAGCAAGCCATTTCTCAGTGGGCGCACAGGGGGAGCACCTATGGGCTACTCCCGGGAGTGAACCTGGTTTGCATTCAGATCCAAAGGTTTGAGCACTTGGAGAAAACAAATCGGCCTCAAGTTTTAGACACAACTCTGGAGCTTCCAGAGTTTATAGATAATGGCACGACAACCGCTGTGGTCAGCTTTCGACTATATGCATTCATCATTCATCTAGGAGATGATTGGAGATCTGGGCATTATAGGACAGGTTTTTTGAGAGAAGAAGTGGCGTATCTCGCAGATGATGACCGCTCACCACGGCGAACTACGCTCCTCTCGGATCAAATTTGCCAGGGATCGTATTTGGCTTTCTACGTAAGGGTCTAGCTCGCTCTACCTTCGCATGCGGAGGTTTCCTCCGGAGGCTTCCTCCGCAGCAGTGTTCTTTCTTCTTAAAGTAGACCTATCTGCCTGCTGTTGCCTAAGGCAACTCGGCATGAACGCTGCCCTGCGCGCAATAAAGCCATGATCTCGTGCTAAGATGTATAGTCTCTTGCGTGAAACTTTCACATGCGGAGGTTTCCTCCGGAGGCTTCCTCCCCGGTAGTGTTTCTCACAGTAGACCGTTCTGCCTGCTGTAGCTTAAGGCCAAGCTGACCCATTCTTGTCCCTGAACCTGAAGCATCTGAAAGAGCCCTGCGCGCACTTCAGAACATGTGAGGTCTCCTCCAGGTCGGTGGGTTCAGCTTAGGGTCACTTTTTCGGATGCAACCTTGCCTTGTCGCAGCGCTGGCCCCGAGAGCCGTGCAAGGTGTCCCAGGTCAGGTGCTTCCCTCTTCGCAAAGTACTCGTGCCTATGCGAGACCTCCTCGTCAAGTTCGGTCAGTTGGGGTCACATTTTCTCGACCAGGAATGCAATTTTGCCCTGTCGCAGCGCTGGCCCCAGGAGCCGCGCAAGGCGTCCCAGGTCAGGCTTCGCAAACTTAGCTACCCTGCCTCCAACTTGGGCATCCTTCTTGGAACGTGCAAGGCCGCCTTGGTGCGCTCTGCCTACGGCCCTCTGCCAGTTGTTTAGCGTTACCTGTGTGAGACGTCACTAGACAGGAACGCTGAGTGTCGGCCTCACCAGAGGTACGGCTCGCTAAACAGCTGGTGCGTGGGTGCTGGACGCAGTGACTCACAGTAGGGTGTCGGGGTAGCCGCGCTTATTTTTCACTCTTTTGCAGTGCTGAGTACTTGATATCGGAGGCTGCCTCCGTGCCAACTTCAATTTCTTCAATTTCTTCATTGATTCATTGCATCAGATTAGGAGGTTTCCTCCTGAATATCCTTAAGTACTCTGCCAAAGCAGATTCAGTATAGCAGGTAGTGAGACCTGGCAATCTGGAGGAAGCGATCCTCTCGAAGTCCAAAGGCCGGACTGTGAAATAAAAAAGGCGGGTGAGACCTTCTAAATCACACTTGCCCGCCTTAATCACACCAAACTCAGCTAGCGCACAGCTCTAGCCTGCAACACAACATCGGGGCCAGCCGGCACTGCAGCAGTCGCGGGTGCAGGTGAGCCAGTAGGAAGCGGTCGTAGGGTGCCCAGCCAGCACAGCGCTATCGCAGCCCTGAGGGGCGGATGCATTCCACATAATCGAACATAGCTGTGCACAACAATCTTTCAGCAGCCCTGAGGGGCGTGAAGTACGAACTAGCAAAGACTGCTGGAGCTCCCAAGGCGGATACAGAGTAGCCGACGTGCCGAGGATCCAAAGTGATCAGAGGTCCACATGCTGATTCTGGCAGTGAGTGCAATGCAAAAATGTAAGATTCTGGCCCAAGATGAGGATTTTATTTCTCGTAGCCGTAGCGAGCTTTCTTGGGTGCCTGGGTCCCAAGTCCCAGGGTCCAGCCATGGATCAGAATCGAGGGTTTCGGGAAGTAGCGCCCCCCGATGAAGCTGAGCAGCATGCGCAGCGAAGTCAGCTAACCATGAACAAGACCGGCAAGCGAAGCTACCAAAGAGCTTGTAAAGTTGCCCTGGCGAAGGGAGCAGCACTTTACAAAGGCCGACTTCTGACCGCTCAGGCTCTAGGAGCCCATGAAGACCAATTTGCAGTCTCTGAGAAGCCAGAGAAGCAATCTTTTCAGCCGATCAGACAGTATCACCACAAATTTGAAATTGAGGTTTTATCTTGGAACGCAGGTTCAATAACGAGTCGAGTTTGGAATGAGCTTCTGGCCATTTTGGCAACACCAGAATATCAGAACATCAAGCTTGTGCTGCTGCAAGAATCCCACTGGCAGCAGGACCAAACCTACAGCTCAGGTCCATGGTCAGTCCTCACCTGTGGCTCTGAGAGTAGACATAAAGCCGGCCTCGTTGTCCTTGTGCATCGATCCGTGGCCCAGCTCTCAGAGATTCGCAGCACCACCATAATTCCAGGGCACCTGCAGCATGTCATGATTCCTTGGCAGAGGTCTAGGATCCATCTACTCAATCTGTATCAGCATGTTTGGGACTCCAAACTCTCCAAGTTGGACAATAGACGACGGAGGAAGGATGTGCTGAGTCAACTTGAGACTCGCCTTCGCAGAGTGCCTTTGAGAGACTTTATGCTTGTTGCCGGTGATTTCAACTCACATGCAGTCACAGAGCGTCCTTTCATTGGGCCCAGTGTGCCTCGCCGAGCCAGATTTGCCAATGCAGATGTTAGATCGCTCCCAGAACTGTGCAGATCTTGTGGGCTGACAGCGCTCAACACATGGGCCTCCAGCCATAAAAGCACTTATGCAAACAGCGATGGCACATATGAGTCTCAAATTGATTTTCTGCTAGTTCGACTGCAGGATGCCCGGAGGCGGTCGAAGGAGGCTTCCTCCGATAAGAATTTTCCAGTTGCAGCGTACCGGGATGGCTCCAAGCACTTCCCGGTCAGAGCCAAACTGTTTGTTCCTCCATACAGTCCTCCCCCAAGCAAACCAAAGCCCTTTGATGCCACTGCACTTGATGCCAGCTTTAGACGAAAAGATGAAGACTGGCAGGCTTATTCCAAGCACCTAACAGCTGAAGTAGTCAAGAGTGTGGCTGAGCAGAACTCTTGGCAATCGATCGACAGGACGATGGTTCGAGTCACTGCTGAGCAATTTCCACCGCCTCGCAAGGCTCAGCCAGTTGCAGGGCCCATTCAGCAGGCTTACTGGACAAAGGTGCGCCAAATTCAGGAGCACAAGCGATCCGGTAATGGGCAGTCTCCTGAGTGCCAACAGCTAATCAGCGACATAAAGACAGAGGCCCAATCTTTCAAAAAGTTGCAGAAGCAAAGAAAACTTGAAAAGCAGGAGAGGCTCCTTCTTCAAGCCCAAGAGGACAAGAGACAGCAGTCTCACAAACTGTCCCAAGCCCTTAGAAAGCTGGCCCCATGGAAACCTGCTCAAAGGGTCAATCTCAGGGATTCAGCAGGTGAGCCCCTAGATGCGAAGGCCTCGGCAAGTGCGATGCGAGAGTATTCGAGTCACATCTTCTCCAAGGGATCTCCCCTGGATCCGGTGGCAGCCAGACCACGAGAGGCTGTCAATGCCTCGCAGGTGGCCGAGCAAATAAAAACAATTCCGGTGGGCAAGGCGGTTCCCAGCATGTCGGCCCCGGTCTCGGCCTGGAAGAGCTTAGCGCCTGAGGCTCATGTGAAGATCGCTGATCTGATAAACACAGAGGTTTCTCAGTCAGATATCTCACCGTACTTGAAGGACCCCAGAATTGCATGGATTCCAAAGCCGGGTAAGCCAGCTACAGCTATGAAGAACTTGAGGCCCATAGGAGTAATAAGTGTTCCAGGCAAAGTGATTGCAGGTGCTGTCAAGACTCGCATAGCACCGGCACTGCAAGAGCGCTCACAGCTTGAGCCGCAGTTTGCATATATTCGGAAGCGAGGGGTGCGAGATGCCATTGCAAAAGCGTGTCAGCATCTGGATCTCGTGCAGGAAATGCGCCAAGAGCATCGCCGGGATATGCACAAGGCACAGCAAGGTCAGAGAAGGCTCCCATTGGCAGGGGCCTTAACAGTCTCCGTCGATCTGAGCAAAGCCTTTGACTCTGTCAACAGACAAGAGTTGCTTGAAGCCTTAGACAAGCTCAACATAGATCAAACCACTAAGGACTTTGTTGTACAACTCCACTCCTGTACATCGTACAACATGGGCACTAATGGGCTTGAGTTCAGTGTTCCTACTTCTTCGGGAATAAAACAGGGATGTAAATTAGCTCCTGCATTGTGGTCTGCCTTAACCTTGCTAGTCATGGACAGGATGGAGAAGAAGTGGGGGCCTGGCAGCAGTCAGGCAAGAGATATACTCACTGTCTTCGCTGACGATTTTCTCCATCAGGAAACTTTTACAAGCTTTGCCGAACTGCAGCAGGTACTCACTCGGCTTGAAGCTTTGTTTCAATCCCTCGAGGAAGTCGGCCTTGAAGTCAATCCAGCGAAATCCAAGGCACTGCTCATGGTGCAAGGCACTCAGCAATCCCTCTTCCGCAAGCAATACACCAAACGATTAAAAAATCAGCTCCATTTGGTTCTTCCCTCGGGGCATCAGATTCCGATTCATCATCAGCTGACCTATCTAGGAGTGCAACTAAGCTATGGTGCTTACAAGGATCAAACAGTAGACTACAGGATTTCTCAAGCCCAAGGCAAATTTGAGCTCCTTAGGAGTATCTTGTGCACGACGAAGGCCCTTGACGAGGCGAAGAAACTAGAGATCTGGCGAGTGTATGTCGAGTCTTCGCTCTTGCATGGCATAGTCTCCACGGGAATCACCCACACGGGACTGCAAAAGCTCCAGAGCAAATATTCTCGGATGCTCAGATCTATCTTTCAGCAGCATCAGCATTTTAGTCGAATGGAAACCACAGAGCTGTTTGAGCACCACAAGATCCAAACTCCTCAGGAAGTTCTTCTCAGGCAAATGAGGAACTATCAGGATGCGATGGATGCTGCCAAGCCAACAGGCAACTTACAAACGATCCAAGAGTACCTGGGTCTACGCAGCCGGCTGATTAGCCAACAGCAGCTACTTCAATCCATGCAATTGGCTCTGGCCGAAGAAGATCATGCAGTGCCCTGTTCGCTATGTGATAGAAGTTTCTCTAGCAACAAGGGATTGCAGCATCATACACTAGTGAAGCATGGAGGCCAAAGAGCAAACCAGTTGGGCCCTAAATTCCAAGTCTTCGCACATAGTCTGCAGGGACTCCCGCAATGTGCAGCATGTCACAAACAGCTGCGCACAATGCATCAGCTTCGCAGACATGTTGAATCGGGAACATGTTCAAAGCTTCCAGAGCTGAGGGAGCGATCATCGTCCTGCTCAGGAGCGGAGAGCACAGCCTTGCTGCTCCAACCAAGTGTTCAGGATCAATTGAAAAGAGACCCTGACCTGCTTCTCAAAAAGGCTCATGTGACCAAGCACTTGCGGGCTTACTGCAGCCTCTGTGGGCAGTTCATTGTCGGTCACAAGGGCGTCAAACAGCACATTCAGAAAGCGCACCAGGCTTTCTGGGCAGGGGCCTCAGACTCAGTCTATGCCAACATGCGCACACATAAGAGACTGCTTCATAAAAAGGAGGAATGCAGATATTGTGGAATGATGGTTGACGCTCCGGTTCGCCACGCGGACCAGTGTGTAGTCCTGCTGCAGGTCTATGCCATGAGTGCAGCAATGAAAAAGTCTACCGACCCACACATAGAATATGGCACTGTGACGTCGGAACTTGGGATTCGTGCGCAGGAGGGTTCCTCCCAGGAGGCTTCCTCCACCAGTAGGATTCGGTCTCACCAGGCACCAGCAAGCTCCCAGCGAGACGCACCAGCAGAGGGGAGACCTTCGTCAGTGCCCGTCACAGCCTGGTCTCTGGCCTATCATAATCCGCATCAACTGTGCTATGCACACACAGTAGTGCATATCCTTGCCTCGCTTGCATCAGAGGGTATTCTTTCTGATCCATATCTGAGACAAATATTGACGGAAATTGACGCAGTAGGGGGTCGTTCTTCTAGTGTGGATGTTCGTAGGCTGCGACAGCTACGTCCTCTGCTGACGGGATGGCGATTCAGACCCAGGCAAGAAGATGCATCCCAGTTTCTAGCACATATCATTCAGAGATCCCATGTGCTTTCAGCAGATGTTTGGGAAGCGAGGGTTCAAATCACAGCACCCGTGGAAAGAATCAGCGTAGAGGATAGAGGGGGTTTGATTCTTTTCTTGCCTGACCCACCAGATGGCCTCTCCACACTACAGCAAGCCATTTCTCAGTGGGCGCACAGGGGGAGCACCTATGGGCTACTCCCGGGAGTGAACCTGGTTTGCATTCAGATCCAAAGGTTTGAGCACTTGGAGAAAACAAATCGGCCTCAAGTTTTAGACACAACTCTGGAGCTTCCAGAGTTTATAGATAATGGCACGACAACCGCTGTGGTCAGCTTTCGACTATATGCATTCATCATTCATCTAGGAGATGATTGGAGATCTGGGCATTATAGGACAGGTTTTTTGAGAGAAGAAGTGGCGTATCTCGCAGATGATGACCGCTCACCACGGCGAACTACGCTCCTCTCGGATCAAATTTGCCAGGGATCGTATTTGGCTTTCTACGTAAGGGTCTAGCTCGCTCTACCTTCGCATGCGGAGGTTTCCTCCGGAGGCTTCCTCCGCAGCAGTGTTCTTTCTTCTTAAAGTAGACCTATCTGCCTGCTGTTGCCTAAGGCAACTCGGCATGAACGCTGCCCTGCGCGCAATAAAGCCATGATCTCGTGCTAAGATGTATAGTCTCTTGCGTGAAACTTTCACATGCGGAGGTTTCCTCCGGAGGCTTCCTCCCCGGTAGTGTTTCTCACAGTAGACCGTTCTGCCTGCTGTAGCTTAAGGCCAAGCTGACCCATTCTTGTCCCTGAACCTGAAGCATCTGAAAGAGCCCTGCGCGCACTTCAGAACATGTGAGGTCTCCTCCAGGTCGGTGGGTTCAGCTTAGGGTCACTGTTTCGGATGCAACCTTGCCTTGTCGCAGCGCTGGCCCCGAGAGCCGTGCAAGGTGTCCCAGGTCAGGTGCTTCCCTCTTCGCAAAGTACTCGTGCCTATGTGAGACCTCCTCGTTAAGTTCGGTCAGTTGGGGTCACATTTTCTCGACCAGGAATGCAATTTTGCCCTGTCGCAGCGCTGGCCCCAGGAGCCGCGCAAGGCGTCCCAGGTCAGGCTTCGCAAACTTAGCTACCCTGCCTCCAACTTGGGCATCCTTCTTGGAACGTGCAAAGCCGCCTTGGTGCGCTCTGCCTACGGCCCTCTGCCAGTTGTTTAGCGTTACCTGTGTGAGACGTCACTAGACAGGAACGCTGAGTGTCGGCCTCACCAGAGGTACGGCTCGCTAAACAGCTGGTGCGTGGGTGCTGGACGCAGTGACTCACAGTAGGGTGTCGGGGTAGCCGCGCTTATTTTTCACTCTTTTGCAGTGCTGAGTACTTGATATCGGAGGCTGCCTCCGTGCCAACTTCATTTCTTCATTGATTCATTGCATCAGATTAGGAGGTTTCCTCCTGAATATCCTTAAGTACTCTGCCAAAGCAGATTCAGTATAGCAGGTAGTGAGACCTGGCAATCTGGAGGAAGCGATCCTCTCGAAGTCCAAAAGGCCGGACTGTGAAATAAAAAAGGCGGGTGAGACCTTCTATATCACACTTGCCCGCCTTAATCACACCAAACTCAGCTAGCGCACAGCTATAGCCTGCAACACAACATCGGGGCCAGCCGGCACTGCAGCAGTCGCGGGTGCAGGTGAGCCAGTAGGAGGCGGTCGTAGGGTGTCCAGCCAGCACAGCGCTATCGCAGCCCTGAGGGGCGGATGCATTCCACATACTCGAACATAGCTGTGCACAACAATCCTTTCAGCAGCCCTGAGGGGCGTGAAGTACGAACTAGCAAAGACTGCTGGAGCTCCCAAGGCGGATACAGAGTAGCCGACGTGCCGAGGATCCAAAGTGATCAGAGGTCCACATGCTGATTCTGGCAGTGAGTGCAATGCAAAATGTTGTTGTTGTTGTTGTGTGTGTTGTTGTGCGTGTGTTGTTGTGCGTGTGTTGTTGTGCGTGTGTTGTTGTGGGTGTCTGTTTGTTGTTGTTGTTGTTGTTGTTGTTGTTGGTGTTGTTGTTGTTGTTGTTGTTGTTGTTGTTGTTGTTGTTGTTGTTGTTGTTGTTGTTGTTGTTGTTGTTGTTGTTGTTGTTGTTGTTGTTGTTGTTGTTGTTGTTTTGTTGTTGTTGTTTTGTTGTTGTTGTTGTTGTTGTTGTTGTTGTTGTTGTTGTTGTTGTTGTTGTTGTTGTTGTTGTTGTTGTTGTTGTTGTTGTTGTTGTTGTTGTTGTTGTTGTTGTTGTTGTTGTTGTTGTTGTTGTTGTTGTTGTTGTTGTTGTTGTTGTTGTTGTTGTTGTTGTTGTTGTTGTTGTTGTTGTTGTTGTTGTTGTTGTTGTTGTTGTTGTTGTTGTTGTTGTTGTTGTTGTTGTTGTTGTTGTTGTTGTTGTTGTTGTTGTTGTTGTTTTGTTGTCCCATCCTTGGTGTGGGGCTGTTAAATTCTGAGTTCTCCTCGTCCCGTCCTCGTGCAGGGAAAAATCCCACCCAGAGAGCCCGCAGAGAGTATGATAGGAGCGTCCCTAGCTACTGTCCCCACTCCGTATCCCGGAGCGCTCAACCCGAACAACCACTTAATTTTCATGCATGCACCCTTCAGCCCTCAACCCCGCATGACATGTAGATTGGGGCATGGGGCGCAATTTGGCCCCCAAATCAATCGCTCGTGTAAAAACAACTTGCTGCTCCACCACTTGTCTAGCCGCTGCTTTCAAGTCCTTCAGACTCTGGAGACTTTCTTTGCCCTGAAGCCTGCGCGGCCAACAAAGATCAAGCATTGAGCCAAGCGGCATCGTTCTCATTCGGGTGCAGCGCAAGTCCAAGCGGCTCGTCTTCAGACGTTCCTCAGGACTCATGCTGATGCTTGAACTAAAAGTAACTAAAATCCGCTTCAATGCGTGGGACCACGGCAGCAGAGATGTACAAAGAAACCCATGGGAGCACCGAAAAACGCGCGGCCATGCCTGGGCCTAGGCGACGTGGAACCGGCCTCCGTGTTAAGATATCTTGTGTTAGGTGGCTGCAGTCGACTACCATCTGCGCGAATGGAACCGACTCCCACACCCATAATCCTTGGCCCTCAAAGATGTCTCCTCATGGGGTTGTTGTGACTAGGGAAAGGAGCATCTCTAGAATTCTTAACCGCAGTTCTTTGCCAAGAGTCGAAGAGCAATGCGCAACACAAGGGGCCGTTCGAAAGTGAGATTGACTGCAGTTGAGCGAGTCATCCTCAGCTTTGCTACGAACTCTTCCACTTTCAGGGTCAAAGCTACACTCTTGAACAATACTGATGTCCGGAGCACTTCGTGAAAGGCCTTCAGTGGAGGAAGTGTAGCGTTCCGACATGTCGTGCATACAGTGCGCACTGAGCATATGAAGCATGTCCGTGTCAAGCTGGAACAAGTGTTTTAACAAGCGCTTCTGGCTTCTGGGCATTGCTACCTCTGTACCTTATAACTTATAACTTGGTTTGTTCTTGCCAGACGCCACTTCCCGCAATGCTGGTCGACACTTGTCATGTTCATGTCCGCATGGAGCCAGGCAATACGAGCGAGAAAACTGTAGCCACATGTAGCCAACTCCAGACCAGTTGCAGCTCTGCCATGAACTCGGTGCTGCTGCCGGGCTTCCTGTCGAACAGTCGTGGCTTCCACAAAACTTGCGGAATTGGGAGCTTTTTGCACAGAGCTCTTGCGCTTGCTGAGGTTATGTGGTTGCCACAACGAACAACTCTGCTCCCTCACTCACTTCCTTTGGGTCAGCAAATCTCGTTGCAGAGTTTGCGCCCCGGAAGCCAGAGCTGAAACCTTGCGACTTCGACCTTTCGCTCTACATGTTTTGAGGGTGCGCTCAGCGGCTATCTCAGTTGTACCAGCAGCACAGCCAAAGCTGAAATGTGTTTAACTCCGAGGCAGTTTAAGTTAGCTCTTCGTAGGTAGTTGCAACCAACCACAGCTTGGTGAGCGCAAGAAAAAAAGATAAGAAAAAGAAGACCAAAAACTAGATCAAAGATACGTGTTGCTGTATGAAAAAGAAAAGACAACCATAAAAAGAATGTTCAAGCGAGACTGCGAAATTCTTTAATCTGCAAACAAAGAAAAAGGATAAAGAGAATGAGCACAGGGCGACGAACATAATATTGCGAAACTCAAAATTAATAAACGCACTTCCTGAAGATATAGCGGCATTCGATAGAAGTGTGCTAGCAAAGGTTCATTCACCAGGATCTGGGAGATAGAAAGCTTCTCCAAGCCA